TATTTTTAATGATGGCCTTAAAATCTTCTCAAGAACAGCAAAGCCATCATTAGTCATGACCCCCGAGGGTAGGGAGGTGCCGCAATGGGGGATCAAAGTTTTACATATTAAGAATATATAGAAAAAAATCTTCTTTTCATGAACAACAAAGCCTTGTTTAGACATATTTATATGAAAGCATTCTCAGGTAGTGTAGATTCAAATTTATTCAAATCATGACCCTCGGGTGTAGGGAGGGGCCACAATGGTGGATCAAAGTTTTACATAAGAATATATAGGGAAAAACTTTTAAAATCTTCTTCGCAAGAATAGCAAAGCTATGATTACTAATTTTGAAAAAGAAGCATCCTTAGGTAGTATAGATTCAAGTTTATTCAAATAATGTTCCCCTGGGATAGGATGCGGAATGTGTAGAGGAAAAATCTTTAAAAATTTTCTGCTCAAGAACAACAAAACCATTTGTTATATTGATATGGAAGGTTTAAAATTCAAGCCCCCCCCCCTTCTAAACTTTTCAACACTGAACTGATTTGTGCTTTTTCCTAGCCAATGTGCTCAGGTGAGCGATGTTTCCCTTGGGCCTCTTGTTTATGTAACCTAATGCCAAAACTTAGTAAGAAAATGAAATCAATGACAGCACTTCACATGTATTTACTGGTTATTTTTACCAGTACACTCATCTTTGCAATAATGCAATATGTTATATTGTTTGTAAATTTCTAAAGAAAATATTTAAAAAGTTTGAAATTTAAATCATAATGAAAATTATACATGTTTCATGTTGATTGAATATATTTTTAGTACTCATCTGACATGTATGTAAATTGCATGCTTGGCAGGTATTTGTCAATTATTTATTTTGCATTAAAATTAATTCTTTCCACATATATTTTATGTTTACAAGCTGCTTGACCCTCTAAGTACATAAAAAAAAAATCACAATGTATTAAATCTGCAACAGTTAGCTGACACTGAATTTGAAAATACCATGGTGAGGAGTGTTCAAGCCTCATTTCATTACTGGAATAAAAAAAATGTGATAATTTTCCTTACAAATTTCATCCAAAGTGAAAAAACCTGTACTTATAATGACATTTGGTTTCTACTTATGTTTTCTGACAAGGGCTTGCAGCAATGTTCGGAAATTCAGGGTTAACTAAAAGACCTGGAACTTTTAAAGTATGTTTTTCATGCTCACTTTACACTGAATGTCAAACAATTCTCGAGCTAATGACTCCTCTCTTTCCTATATAAAATAGCAGGACTTGAAACATGTGACTTTTCTGTTAGTTATTGTTACTGTCTCCTTTGTACTTGACATCATCATGAACAATTGATGCAGTTGCCCTACCTACTCTATACTTGTACCAGTTAAAATTCTCACTTTGACCCTCATTTAAAATTTTGATCTCATTACAATCTACATTTTGTACACTGTCTTGCATAAATTTAACAAAGCGCATGCTACAGTCTTTTACTTTGTATGGAGAAGCCAGTAGTGGAACAGACAGAGGTTCAGCATCAGTACTATTTGTAAAATCATTATCTAATACTTCCATTATCTGTGTGTCAAGTTCAAAAATGTCCATCTCAAAATTGTCATTTGTAATTACATGTACATTCTCGTCAATGGGGTGAAAAATGTGTGGGTATGGGTATACCCTACTTACAGTGTCGGCTGATTTACTGACATCTCTCGTCTCGGCCTCTCCCACAAACACTTGACATCTGTGCATGTAGCTGTATTTTTGTCTGAGTGCCTGTCACTCCATTCCACCAGACTGAAGAGCAGTGCGACCACATGCTTACAGCCTCCATCATCCCAAAGACATTATATAACATAAATTTAACTTTCGATCATTGGATGCGGTTGAAAAATCTGCCTATTACATAATTGGTTAATTATAATTCATTACAGTCTGTACTATATAGACAAGAAATTTATTTGTACAAATTATTACAATATTAAGTAATCTATTTTACTATTTTAAATTGAAACATGTAGATGATAGAAAAATTACTATTGTCTTGTTTTATTTATATTTTGGGAGACCAATATGAGCGTTTGACAACAAATGAGCAAAGATATATATCTGCACAAACAATGTCTGGTATGCATTGTAAATTATATGTCCAACTATGTAAACTTACGTCATACACAAGTTATCACTCGGTCTTTCACGGTAATTGTTTCTTCGGTGACTCAGCGATATCGTCCTACTGATATAATACCGGTAGCTTCATCTCAAAAGCTTTGATGGCAAGTTCTCGAAGCTGTGTGACATTATAGTTGGTCACAGTGATGCCTCTGGCTTACATGATTGCTCTAAGATCGGGTTTTAGCATATTTTTAATGTCGTTGTTTAGTCTTATATCGGCCATTTTTATTCGAAGCGTCTTTGGAGATTGTACTCACCGATGCGTAGTCAACGGTATTAAATACGCCTCCTTTACTAGAGAGCGGATAACTCGGAACTTGCGTATTGATCCATGGGTTTTTGTTACAGTCTGTTACCAGTGGGGCCCTTTCCTGGTGCATAAGAGAGTTTTGCCGAAGCAGTAAGAGGAAACTCTGTTAATCATGTTGAACCTCATCAAGAGAATAGTCTCACCACAGCTGACCAAAGAAGATATTTAGACGTTTACACTGGACTGGTTTTGTTTGAGTGTGACTTTCTCCATGCAGGTATTACAAATTGTGGATAAATTCACTTTTCCCAGAAAGTTTTAACAAACACTTTAAAAAAATTAATTTTGTATATGGGATATCCATTCTTGTTTAGTACCCAAGGTTTAGTTACAGAATAGAATGTTGTATCTTTTATATCTGTGCTGTGCTAATGAGTCAACAATGTACGAAAAAAGATAAAAGTGCAATTAGGCCATCATTCGAAATATCTTCGTTTCCTTTAAAATCTGAAGTTGGGTAGGTAGGTAGGTAAATATTTCTGAGAGCAGCTTTGAAAATACATTCTGAAATTTAATGTTATAATACCTTTAGAAATATGAAAAGTACAAATAAACGATTTATAAACAGAATATCATACAAATGTCGTTTAAAAGCAACATTCAGGGTTAATTAACGACTATTATTCAATTGAACTTGGGAAATATCTCACGCCAGTGTAAATTTATTGAAATCATATATTTTAAAAGAAAAAATTCTCTGATACGCAAGGGCCTTGAGTTGTGCAGTGGTTCTAGAGCATTTCGTTTTGGAGTCCTGAATTAAGGATCTAATTTTAAGTCGCAGGTTGTAATCTAAATGAGGGATGTTAAGGTCAAGATCTAGTAAATGACTTCAGACTAACTTTTTGGTACTAGATCCATTATGACGTCATAATCAATTTTAACTTTCTTTTTCCCGTACTTTATGGCTCTAGTAGAATTTTGTAGAAAATAAAGTACTTTCATAGAATTCAATTTGAAATCATGTGAAAAGTAATCCCGATACCTATATTCAATTTAACATTATTTTAAAGAAGAGGCCAAGAACATACAAATTACCGTTTTCTGAGAGACTGTAGGCAATCTGGATGCATTTCTTTGTCTGATATGGAAAAAAACTCCCGTATTCATGACCAGTTTTCTTAATTTTCCATTGAAAATGACAGTTTAAAATATGATTTTTCGTCTTGTTCATCTACAAATTATGCCCGAAACACCTTATCTGACCAAGCTAAAGTTATAAAGCACCATTAAAGGAATTTACTTCTCAAATTTGAGAAATCTGTAGGCACCTTTCATTTACTAGATCTTGACCTTAAGACTGGTCCTTTTAATGGGACCGAAAAAAGCTTAGGTCCACTGTCTCAGTAGATGCTGACACGTTAAAGATCCCTTACTGCTCAATGGACCAAAAGTGCTGAGTACAAGTCTAAATTTGGAGCCCTTCACTGGGTAAATATTCAAATGTTGTCGTCCCAAAAGATCTCTAAGGGATTTAAAACAAAGAAATAACCAATCTTCAAGGGCCCAATTTTTTGAAGAAAAATACACTGAACGTCTCAGGAAGCTGTATCATGATTTCAAAATTAATCTATTTGGAAAGAGTAGGTAAACAATATTGAATTGAACCAAACCATATCTAAAAATATTTAAAAAATGCCATGCACAATGTCATAGACACGAAGTTTAACCCATGATTAAAAGGCATGCATGAAGAAAGGACGTCTGAATTACATTCATCAGGATGAAATATTCAGACTCCTATGGTCCCATATACATGTAGTAAACATAGGAACATCGATGAACTGTTTATCAGATCAAAACTCAAATTAAATAAAAAAAATACAGTGAAATTGATTGATGCGTTCACAACTTAGGCCTCTTGTCTGCTCATGAGGCGGGCTTACCATGTACTACGTACCTTAATTTTAAAAGTCAGGTTTGTAAATACCATCGAAGCACACTTAATTAATCATGGTATATTTTATTAATGAAATGTTTTAAGAGTGTCGGATTCTAATAAGCTAAAGGCATAATATTGATTTGTCGCCTTTGTTTTATAACACGAACTAACCCTCTGACCACATGTTCTGCGCGCCATTTTGTTTCCAACAAACGCTTAAAAATCACAGTAGAACAATGTCGGCCGTTCTGATAAAAACGGATTTTGATAGAATTGTAATTTGTAAAAGTTGATAAACATTTAATTAAAAAATATTTTAATTATTTTATTTTAAAAGATCTTTTCAGTCAACACGATTTAATTGGGTCGGTCTCGTTAGGGGAAACAAAGGTTTTTTTTTTTTATTTTGGCCTTATGTACTTTTCTTTAAAAAAATTAAAATAATGATGAAAGCTGTAAGAAATAAATAGCTACTAGTAATATTATAATAACTCATTTAATAGTTTTAGTTTAAATGTATTTATTATGCAAAATTTGTTTACATTAATTAAAAGATTTGTTTTTACCACTGACAGAACCTACACGTAGTCACATACTTGCTTTATCATATTGTGGATGGATTTGCTACCTTTGGCCCTTTGTATGGAAGATGGCTCTTTCCCTACGAAAGAGCCAATGGCTGGATTACAAGGCAGTGCCTGAAGAAAGGTGCAGAAGAGGCCACTGTTATGGAGACTTATGCTGCAAGTGCTAAGACAAGTTTCAGAATTTTTCAACCTACATGTAATTTATTTTTTTCATAGTTTAAGCATGAAATTTGGGGAAATCCTCACTTTTTGGAAAGGGGTATATACTTTCACAAAGTAAATAATGATTTGCATGATATTCATAGGATAGAAAATAAAATGCACTGACATTTCTATTCAAAAATATAAATAAAAAGAAATAAAAAATGTACAAAATTAACAGGATTATATTATTGTGTTTTAGGTTTATGAGTGGTGTATGTATATGGTTACGAGTGCCCGATTCAACCCAGCTAAAACTGAGATCAGATATGGACCCCTGCAGTGAGGAAATCACCCCTTCAGTGTCGTCCAAGGCAAAGAAATTACACTCACGGAAGGAATGCGGAATCATATGAAGGACTTCTACCAAACATCATTCAAACTGAAAATATCATGAAGGTGTTCATGGTCAATGAAGTGGACCATCTGGGCAATCAGTTCGGTGAAGTCAGTAGTTTGCTGGAACACAGTGTGAATTGTACTTTGCAGAACTATAGAGACGTCACCTTATACCGGTGAATTGAAGGGCTTCAAATTTTGACTTTTATCGGCACTCAGGGCCATTGAGTGGTGGGGGATCTTTCTCGTGCCAACGCTTGCCGTGACACAGGGCCTCGGTTTTTAAGGTCCCATCCGAAGAACCCACAACTTTCACTTCAAAGTTTGGCAGTTGCTCCTATTTTTCATCGACTTAGGTCAGTCGCGGCCATGGCTCGAACCCACGGCCTTCCGATCAAGGAAGCGAGCGCTCTACCGAATGAGCTACTGTGACGGTCGGCTTAGAATAGAAGTGACAGGGTTGTACAATTTGTAAGAAGAGCGATACTATGTCATTGGGACTCTTGTTTACTAGTTAGAAGAATCAGATGGTGCTTGTTAATGTATTAGATAAAATAAACAAGAACTGTATGCAAACCATTTAAACTTTGAAATTGAAAATATTATCTTGTAACCCTTAAGTTTCATGTAATAACTATTAAACAATGTATCCTCAAAAGATTCTCACAAAATTTAGAAAAAGACATACTGTTCAAGTTTAATTGTGATACAGTTAAGACCGCTTAATATTGATTGCGCTAATATCTATTTATATTCATTGGAAGATGACGGACGATTGTTAAATTTAAAGCCCATTTTATAATTTGTTTGATTAATGTTGTTACTTTTTGTAGCCTTCAAGGGCGTAGCTTCCATTGTGGCAATGAGGCAACTGCCTCACTAGATTTTTCAGCACCACCCCCTTTCCATAATTTAATTTTTGTTTTTTCTTTAGGTTCCTCTATTAAATACTTTTGAATATATAGTATTATATACACGATGAAGTCTTCAATAACGAAACCGATAAAATTTTATATGAAATTTCAGTCCAGGACAGGTGTGATTTTTGCTTTCTAAAACCCCAAAATTCATTTTCCATCAAGGGGCTTCACCCCCTGAACCCCTACCCCACCCCACCAGGGTTCCGCCCGAACTTGCTGGGAGCCTAAGGCAACATCCAGACCCCTAGCCACAATAGTTTTGCCTCACAAGAATTTTAAGTCAAGCTACGCCTCTGGCCTTCCTACCATTTTGTTAAAGTGAAAATCTCAAATTTCGTAAATGACAAAATAATGTAAACGACACCTTAAACAGTCTACCTAATACTTTTAACGAGATTATTATGTGGTCTGTGCAATATCCACATGTACATGTACATGTTTTAGACGACCTTGATATATCTATAATGCAGTACAAGTAGCTTGACTTTTAGCCAACAATTTCAACCCTATTCCTCGAACATTTAACAATTTTTGTATACCGATATCAATGAGAGAAGGTTATGAATATGTACATAACTTCACTTCTCACGTGTAACGAGATCAAAAATAAGAAGAAGAAGAAGAAGAAAAAACAGCATTGTTACAAACATGGCCATAGTTATGAAAGACGTTGGCAAATAAATTGATTATTTAAACACAAGCGAGCAATAGGTCGAACATCCTTTGATTGGGCGTTTACAGGGGAGATTTAAATAAACAGCTTTGTCTGCAACAAATAAAGTTATTTCCGGCACACATTCCTGATAATTTCTTATGATCAATCTGATAAAATATTTACTTGTTTAGCCAACTTTACACCTTTATCAAACCATTTACACTGATTTTTGTTTAAATGTTGATACCCCATTTAATATTTAGAAATTCAGTTTTGACATCTTACATTTTAAAAGTTCAAGTGCCTTCATGTTCAAGGTTCATCTGGACTTTAATTAATCCAAGACATATTCTTAAAAAGTTGCAATTTTATTGTTCTGGTGATATATCTAGCGTGACCACTGCGTGCAGATTCCAATATATGTTCTAATAGATTTTTTACTGGAAGGATGTACAAATTTAGACTGTCTTTGCTTGTTTTCAGCATAATTTATACGTCATACATGCCATTTTCGAAAGGTTAGTTGACACCATTTAATTGAATTTTTTTTCCTTATTGACTTATAATGACCATTCCTCGTGATTTTAAGAAAGCTGTACTTACAAAAATCTATCAAGGATTGATATTAAGCTGGTTAACATTAATTTTATTCTTTTACCAAAGCTGTCTATTTAAGAAATCAAGAAAACTACAGGTATGGCGCTTTGTTAACCCTGTGCTTCATCTGAGCAAAATCCCCCGGATAAAGTATTTAAGATGAAGTTTTAAAGTAACCCAATCGCTTCTATAAAAGCTTAATTGTTTTTTCTAGTATCAATAAATAAATCTAAGGCTATCAAATTCTAACGGAACAATGCAATTGGTTTATTGTCTTTTAATTCTTTAAATTATGACATGTGAATGGGCAGCTTTCTATAAAATGTAAATTAATTACAAAAGTAAAAAAAAAATATATAAAAATAATAGATTTTTAGCTCCAGGTAAGGACACGTCAGTAGCATCGCAATAACTTCAACTCATCTAATCTTGGATATAATTAATGTAGTCGCTTCATGCATGTAGCAAGATCGCTGCATAAATTGACCAAGTTTGAATTGCTATTGTTTTTTTTTTGCTATATTTTAGTAAAGGTATGTTCCTAACTAATTTGATTAATAAACATTATTGTGCAAGTTTTTATAAGTCAAACTACTAATACTAATATACTAGATGTTCTAAAGATGTTCAATATTTACATCTCTCCGGCTTTCTTGAACAAAACTAAGAAAAAGGAAACCTAGGCTGGATCTACAAGTTCCATTTTATTTGTTGTTAATCATTTTTAATTTATGTAAAAGAGGTAAGGAAGACAAACCTTTTTGTCTCAAGATATATATATATATATATATATATATATATATATATATATATATATATATATATATATATATATATATATATATATATTATTGTGCAAAGGGAATAAATTATAGTTCTAGAAAAGAAAGAATTTTCAAAATGATTAAAATTGCTAGTTGAGGTTTATTTAAAAATTTTTAAAATCAATTTTGATCAATGTAGCTATTTAATCATGTTAACTGTATAATAAAACTTTCTTTAAATTAGATCAAAACAGAGCTGATTCATCTTTTATTGATAAGTTTGTATTTTTTTGGCATATACATGTAGTTGCGGAGAACGATAATTCTTCATGCCCGGGTTTCTGTGAAGTTCAGACAAAGCGAAATCTCTGTATCTATTTCAAGATCTTAAAATGATTTAAAAAAAAATATGCTTATAATTTAAAAGCAGTATAAAATCGTTAACTTTTTTCATATTAATATATTAACTGAATCAAAACAAAATATTATGAGAATTGGAAAACTGTGCGGCGTGTAAGCAGATAACGGGGATTTGTAAGCCTCTACCGTGTTTATTGTATGTGATAAATTGGAAATAAGATGAATAAATCGGGTCTGCTGATTCATTTTTTTTTTCAAAGGAAACAGGCAGTAGTGCACTAAACCAGTCATGATTTCCTCTGATATTCTTGACAACACAAAATGCAAATATAAATAATAAACAACTTTGTTTCACTGAACATCATGTTATGAACAACTTCAGCTCTGCAGACATATTTACCATGACGCCTTAACGTCATTATATATATATATATATATATATATATATATATATATATATATATATATATATATATATATATATATATATATATCTATATAATGTACATTGTGTCTGTATGAAGCAATGTGTAATATTTTTAGTAATTTAACGAAATAGGGACTTTTGCTAAAACAAACAAAACAACAGATTCTGGTTTTTTTTTTAAACAAAGTAAGTTAAAATATTCTATTTTTATTATATACTTCCACTTAAACTATAATTCAGTGAGAAGGTCCAAGTCTTCATAATGGATTTTACATGTCCATCTGTCCATCCAACTTGCAGGGATCACATAAAACATGTAATGGGGGGGGGGGGTTAGAGGAAAAACATTGTTTGTGGTCCCACTATTTCATGGTCAAAGACGGACAAAAAACCAACAGCAACATATCGGTGACCTAAATGTTAATAACCTCCAATCCCATACGGAATGGAAATTAATTCAACCCAATTTCAATCTGGTGTCATTGACAACTGAGTTACATTGTACCTATAGGATTAATGCACTTTCTTGAGCAGAACCAGAACACCGATATAGGAAATATTTTATGGGAATGAATAGAATTTAAATTAGGTTTCTTACGTTAGCTTCCTTTATTCTCTGGTACGTGTACTGAATGTATACTTAAGTATATAAATAATTATACAGGAATCTTTGCTTACTAACGTGGTCGTATGTGTCGATAATAATGTTTTCTTTTGAGACAGTCATTTTCAACATTCAAGTAAATCGAATTTCTTTTTTTTAAATGACATATCCATACATTTGTAAAATTGCGATTTTAAGAAATATGCACACATGTAGTTTAATTTGAAGTACAGCTATTTTAACAAACGACAGTATGTTTGTAGGAATTCCACAGATAGCATTCCACAGATATATGAAAAATATAATTTTTGTCGTGAAATAATGTTATGTCGCTTAAGAAATATGTTAAAAACAGTCATATCAAATTTCATTTTAGGGGCAGAATATATATATATATATATATATATATATATATATATATATATATATATATATATATATATATATATATATATATATATATAAGTTAATCAACATAATTTGTAATATAAAGTCTTTGAAGGTGCATCATGTTTTCATTTAAATTAATCCATATATATAAAGATTGATGGTAATATAAAACGTCATCAAATAGTTTCTTACATGTATATTTTTACAACGATTTTTTGTAAAATTATTTTCATACTAGGGTGAATAATCTAGTACAAATGTACGAGTTTTCCAAACAGATCACTGGAGTATGATCAATGTGAACACCTAACAATTTTTCCATTTAATTTTCCCTTTCTATGGAATAGCATTGGCCGGAAAGTTATAGCTGAGGATGGGATGCTTTCCCAATAACAATTGAACACATTGCTCATATAACATTTGATCATATTTCCATTCGTAGGGGCCAAATGTAAAGATGGCGATACTGTTGGTGAAGGCGATCCAAAGAAAAAGAAAGATAATATTGATACGTCTAATGGTAAGGGCAATCATATTAAGAACTGTGACTTACACTATATTTAACATAGTCTTTATGTTTGTAGGCAAATAATTATTGTAAATTCGTAGCATTGTCTACTTATATCGAGTATAGAGATGCCTATTTAAAACATGGAGAATAAATTAATCATTCATTTATCACACTTTCTTCCGCGTGTTTGCATGTACGAGTTTCTCGCTGAGACCTACAGAACAAACACTAGTGCATGCATGCATAGAATTAATGTAGAATTTCATTTGTTTTCTGTGCACTCGGTAATCTTGCTGAGCTTAAGACAGTACGTAATCACTTCAGAGACTTTAAGTTTATATTTTCCAAGAAAGCATTTCAGATTTAATAGTATTGAACAAGTATCGACTTTTCTCCTTTAGTTTTGTTTCTGTCAATGACAATCTAAAAACCTAAGTAATTAAGCTTCATTTATTAATTATTATACAGGTGTAAGTATCCTTCTGGACCGCAGTGACATGGAGATTTCATGTTGCGGATTTGTAAAAGGCTGGGAATTCTATGCTAAAACAAATACGGGAACAGTTTATCTGCAAGTGTGGCGACCAGCGGGTGCAACATGGACACTAGTGGGAGAAAACCAATACACTGTTACATGTAAGGAAAAAATTGTCCTCCCTTATAATTTTATCCGATATAAAAAAAAATTTGCACAATATATAAGTTGGTGACAATTAAGTTTAACTATAGATATGCCTAAAGGAAGATCCAAGTCCTTAGGCTCTATACCTGACTCTGGTTACTGAAGAAAAAACAATGTCGGCAATTCACATGCAATTGTCCTTTGTTTTTGTCCAGTATGAAAAGAAACAAATTAATTAATGTATATGAAACGAAAACATATGAATTAAATTACTGAAATTATTTGCCTTCCATGAGTTGTTTCACTAGAAGACTAAAATTGCTGGAGTTTTGAAAGTAAAGGAGTTAGATGTGTCTAGTGATTCGCATTTTTTTTAATTACAAGGTCGACTTTGTAATCATTTGGGGTTTTGTTGTTGTTGTTTTGTTTGGGGGGGGGTTGTTTTTGTTTTCGTTTTTTTTTTTTTTTTTTTTTTTTTTGGTACTTTCTGACTTGATAACAAAACCTCTATATACAAGCGTTTAATTAATATCTATAATTTTTTGTTTAACTTGCATTTAGGTTACATTACTTCCTACGTAATTAGTTATCAGACATTCTTCTTAACCCCCCGTTCACACAGAGCTGCGACTTTACGACGATCATCCCGATCAAGCCACGATCTGAAAAAGTTTTGGATCGGGGCGGATCGGAGCCGATCGGCGTCTAAATCGAGCAATTTGGCAAATTATGGTCTTCATTACGACCGTACTACGATGCCCCTACGTCAAACGCGCTGCTAACACGCTTCTACTACGATGTCACGCAGACCGTTGCCGACCAGCGGCCGCGTTTACTGCGTTTACCCTACGCTGCCGCTACGACATTCAAGATCATACTACGACGCTACGCAGACCTAGATGACTGTACGACGATATCGCTACGGTGGTGCCGATCATATTACGATTGTATTATGCTTCTAGTACGACTTTGGCGATGATGTATATATATCTTGGGTTTGAAACATGTTTTTCATTTCTGTCCAAACTTTACCATGGGGTTTACGGGGCATTTTCAATTGTAACTGTAACAAGATGTGAAAAGTTCGAAGTCTCAACTGCAAATGATTGTCAAGTATAGTGTAACCCTTTACATGCAGTTGACAGATGATGCTTGGTCAAATATCAGCGCTATAAAAACAAACTGCTGCCTGATAGGTCGTGGTATGATCGGCGTAAGGTCATTGAAGGTCTTCGTAGGATCGTCAGGAACGTAGAAAGATCGTAATGGGAACATAGTAAGAACGTAGTGGGAGCGTTGTAGGAGCGTATACTTGATAAGTTCCCGACTGTACTACGCTTTTACTGCGCTTTTACCACGATCACGAAGATCTCTCCACGATGCTTCCGCGCTGCTTATACGATTACGGTGCTTCTACTACGCTCTTTTTACGACTTTACCCCGATTCTTGTTTGCCACGATCCCGCTACGCTTGTTTTGAGCATGTTCAAAATAAGCGTGGGGAGAACGTAGAGCTCTCCGATCATGAAGACCCTACCGCGATCTTACTGCGCTTATAAAGACTCCACTTCGTTTCTCCTGCGATTTGTCACGATCGGCCACGTTTTCGGCCACGCTTTGATCGTACTAGAAGCGGCGTCTATGTGTGAACGGGGGCTAAGTAATTATTAAATAAAGCTGAACAAGACTCGTAAATAGGCTTACGCCATTACTATTACAGACTATCTCCGATATCAGCACTACGGTATACCTTCGCATTCGTCACACCTGACTGTTTTCTTGTCACGGGCACCTGCGTGGAATGCAGGACGCATGTTCGTGCTGGTTACCTGGTATCTTATTACCAATGTTTACATTTTTTTGCAGTTTACGTGTATTTGTGTTTGTTAGCTCACCTGAGCTGAAAGCTCAAGTGAGCTTTTCTGATCACATTTTGTCTGTAGTCCGTCTGTCCGTCCGTCTGTCTGTAAACTTTTCACATTTTCGACTTCTTCTCCAGAACCACTGGGCCAATTTCAACCAAACTTGCCACAAAGCATCCTTGGGTGAAGGGAATTCAAGTTTGTTCAAATGAAGGGCCACACCCTCTTTCAAGGGGAGATAATAAAGAATTAGTGAAAAATTAATAGCATCTTTTAAAAATCTTCTTCTCAAGAACCACAGGGCCAGGGAAGATGAAACTCATGTGGAAGCATCCTCAGGTAGTGTAGATTCAAGTTTGTTCAAATCATGATCCCCGGGGGTAGGGCGGTGCCACAATGGAGGATCAAAGTTCTACATAGAAATATATAGGGAAAATCTTTAAAAATCTTCTAAAGAACAGCAGAGCCATGATGAGTTATATTTATATGTCAGCATCCTCAGGTAGTGTAGATTCAAGTTTGTTCAAATCATGACCCCCGGGGGTAGGGCGGGGCCACAATGGAGGATCAAAGTTTTACATAGAAATATATAGGAAAAACCTTTAAAAATCTTCTTCTCAAGAACAGCAGAGCCATGATGAGTCATATTTACAGGGAAGCATCCTCAGGTAGTGCAGATTCAAGTTTGTCCAAATCATGACCCCCGGGGGTAGGGCGGGGCCACAATGGAGGATCAAAGTTTTACATAGAAATATATAGGAAAAACCTTTAAAAATCTTCTTCTCAAGAACAGCAGAGCCAAGATGAGTCATATTGACATGGAAGCATCCTCAGGTAGTGTAGATTCAAGTTTGATCAAATCATGACCCCCGGGGGTAGGGCGGGGCCACAATGGTGGATCAAAGTTTTACATAGAAATATATAGAAAAAACCTTTAAAAATCTTCTCAAGAACAGCAGAGCCACGATGAGTCGTATTTACATGGAAGCATCCTCAGGTAGTGTAGATTCAAGTTTGTTCAAATCATGACCCCCGGGGGTAGGGCGGGGCCACAATTGAGGATCAAAGTTCTACATAGAAATATATAGGAAAAACGTACCTTTAAAAATCTTCTTCTCAAGAACAGAAAAGCCATGATGAGTCATATTTATATGGAAGCATCCTCAGGTAGTGTAGATTCAAGTTTGTTCAAATCATGACTCCTGGGGTAGGGCGGGGCCACAATGGAGGATCAAAGTTTTACATAGAAATATATAGGAAAAATCTTTAAAAATCTTCTTCTCAAGAACAGCAAAGCCATGATGAGTCATTTATATGGAAGCATCCTCAGATAGTGTAGATTCAAGTTTGATCAAATCATGACCCCTGGGGGGTTGGGTGGGGCCCAATAGGGGATCAAAAGTTTTACATAAGAATATATAGAAAAAAATATTTTCTCTCAAGAACAGAAAAGCTATGTTTAGTCATATTGATATGGAATTATCCTCAGGTAGTGTAGATTCAAGTTTGTTTAAATGATGATCCCTTGGATAGGGAGGAGCCAGAATGGGGGATCAAATTTTTACAAAGGAATATATGGGAATTTTTTTTTTTAAATCTTCTCAAGTACAACAAAGCAATTTGTTATATTGACATGGAAGCATCATCAGGTAGTTTAAAATTCAAGCCCCCCCCCCCCCCCGGTAATTTTTTCAATACTGAACTGATTTGTACTTTTGCCTAGCCAATGTGCTCAGGTGAGCGATGTGGCCCTTGGGCCTCTTGTTTGTATAGTGCACTGACCCTTGCAACTGTTGTAACCTTCTTTGGTATCTCTCTCCTGCCGTGGAAGAAGCACGGATACCGAGTGTATTCCAATAGCTGTGTAGCATACGTCCGTCTACACAGGTGACAACTGATTACGCTGAACAGTGATAAGTGAATGGATTATATAGGGGCCATCATATATAAAGTTTGAATAAAAGAATATGGCGGACAATTCCTTTTACGAATCGTGTTCAGCTTCAAGTAGAATAATTTTCGTATTATCAGTGATTTTGTCACAATCATCATACTAAATTAATATCATCTTCTTTATTATTTGTAGCTACAGACAATGAAATTTACGTTTCACTTGCAACAACTGATAGAATACAGGTTCAGAGTGGCGACTATGTTGGCGTGTAAGTATTTCATATCGGTTCCTTTAATTATCGGCAGCGGCCGATCTATTCGTGGTTCTGTAAAACAGTGCACGTGAGGAAAGGAGATGTTATTTTTTTATTGATCCAATAGATTATATTATTGTTGAAAACAAGTAATGAACAAAATATGGTTAGGAATTGCTATATATATTTAAGCATTAAGCGCGATATTGATGCCATCTTACATATATATTAAACCCATCCGTAATTTCAAAATAATGGGCCGCAATACCCGAGTCGGGAACGGTACCTAGGAGGAATAAGAATCCTCTCTCCATCGGTCACACCCGCTGTGGGCCCCTTGTATTGATCAGGTAGATGGAATAATCCGAAATGGATTCAAATCAAATTCAGAATAAAAACAAAGGCCTTACAATCGGGATGAAATATGTCAGTCAAATCACGACCCACTGATAGGTTTTATTTGCTAACAAGGTCATTATAACGACCATAGAATTTACGATATGTTTACTGTAAGGGAGGTTGTTGAAATGTAACACTTGTAATATCATCTTATTTGTCAGTGGCCTGCCTCGGTTATAAAATTGATCGTATACAGAGCATACTAATAAGAATTGAAAAAGTTAAAGAGACATAAACACCACAGTACTAAAAATATTAAGAAAAGGCAGGTACTAAATTTAAGTATAATAACACCCCCCCCCCACCCCCCACCCCCCCCCCACGCAAAAGATCGTTTGCTTTCTCGATCTTTTTCTTTTTTTGAAAACGAAGAAGAAAAGGCTTTATGTCGAAATGCAGATTCTACGTAAACCAACACCCCCCCCCCCCAATAAAATATTCAGCTATTGCAAAAACATTCTGATGGTACACACAAATACTTTTGTCGCCCGCGTGGCACAGTGATTTCAAGGAGCACACGGCGCGCATATTTTGGTACATGACTTTTCTAAAGATTTTTTGTTCCAAAATATGAATTACACAATATATGTAATAATAATTTGATTAAGAAAATGGATTCGTGTCTTAAATGGTAAATTTTAAAAGCTTAAAAATAACAGTGACGATGATTACAAACTCTGATTAAAATGTTTATTAAGGTGAAGAATTAACTTGACAGTTTTTTTGACATGGATTTTTTTTTTCGAACTAGCTGATTTCTATAGACTTCTAATAAATATACAAATATATATACAAATATACAAAGTAATTATAATTCTTATACAATTTAGTTATGTACAATGCAAGAACTTTTTTCATTGTCTATAATTGTAAAGAATGAAAAAAAAATTGATTTCAGATATCATCCAGCCTCACCAATAGTGTCATATAAACAAGAGGGTAGTTCAAATGAATATCGCATAACAACATCTGTAGGCGCACTGCCGGTAGGAGGATCATTTTCCTGGAATTCTGTATCGCAGGGCACGAAAAGAAAGTATGGCTTAAGGGCTGATCTTACAAATGGTAAATGCTATTGTCCTCTTTCTTCCAGAAACTATTAGGTCATCTGAATCACTTAGGTAATCTAATTGTTTTCATTTTATATTGTGCGTCCGTTTCTGAAATTTTCAGCTTCTCCTGTTGACCCACTTAACCTATTTCAACCAATTTTGGTAAATAGCATCAATGGGTAACGGGGTACAACAAACTGTGAATTTCATGGTCTCTGCCCCATGAGACGTTATGGGTAGGAATGCATTTAAAAAAATCTAATAGTGCTATCTTTAACAATTGTCTTCTCAACCTGGACATCAAACAATCAACCTGTTGACAAGATTGTAATAAGCATTGAGCCCTCTACCAAAATTGTGAAAATCATGGCCCAAGGGGGCAGGGGCTCTGGAGTTAGGTTTTGACTCCAATTATCATATAATGAAAATGCATACATTCTTTAAAAATCTTCTTTGCCCCTGGATTTCAGCAGTGTTTTATTTTGAAGTAGTATTTTAGCAGTATTTTATTTTATTTTATAGTAAAAATGCATTTTTCTTTGATAAACCTTCGTCTTTGCTCCTTGGTACTAAACAAACGAACCAAATGCATAGTTTTGATGAGAAAGGGTGCTCCTTCCAAAATTATACTCATAAAGAAGCGGAGGATATCAATTTGTTAAATGAGATTAAAATCTTTAAAATTCATGTTAAAATAACATCAAAATAACTCGGGCAGTAAAAAAAAAGTTTTTCTTTCGAGTTTGTTTTTACCAATCAGTACAATACCCTTCATTACCTGATGTCAGCAATTAATATCATATTAGAAGCAAAGATTCTCTTTTTAAACCCCCTGTTTTAAAAGCTGGAGGTCTATAGAGTGGGGGTGTCCATACATACGTCTGTAATCTCGATAGTATGTATCTCTTATTTACAACTCCTCGTATACGTATACCTCTGAATTAAATGTAATGAGAGCTCCACGGAATCTTTATTACTTAGTGCCATTGTGCACCTTTTTATTTTCGTTTCGATCAGATAGATATTTGGGGTTTCCCTTACTAAAACTTTCGCACTGCCACTCTTTCTTTAATATTGGGATTGCTGATCTCTTATCTGCAACTGTTCCTATACCACTGAATGAAATTTAACGAAACTTTCATTAACGAATCTTTATTCCATTGTGGTCCTTTTATTTTACGTATCGATCAGACATATTTTTGGAGTTTCCCATAGCGAAAAATGGACTTTACTATTATATTCATATTGAAGTGAAGGGTATTTTGTGAGCTCAGTGCTCACAGTACCTTTAGATTATTTACGTATCAACATTAATAAAAATCGTACATTACAATATAAAGTTAGCACTTGGAATACGTACATTTGTACCTCCATTGATTATGCACCAAGTGTCAACTGCAGATAGAGAATGGCACTTGTTTTGCTTTATTCATAAATCGCACAAGACATTTTAATTTTAAATCTATTTTCACATTAGTCAGTTGTAAGACAAAATTAATGAACATGTTCTTTTATGCAATACAACAATAACACTTCATTTTGCTACACTCTGGTGTTTATTTGAAGTTCATATTCATCTCATTTGAATTGTTATTTTAACTTAATACAATGTTGTCTTCCTTTTATACAGGTAATAACCCATCAATTACAAACCTCGATACAACCGTATCCTTTACCGATGACACACCAGTAGGGACTTTATTTACTTTGGTAGTATCTGATGCTGATTCACTAGATCCTCTTTCTACAACGATGACAACTATCAACTCGAACTTTGCGTTCAATGCAAATACTCGTACGTTATTATTATGACTACCCAGATAGCAAGACATTGTTGGGCCAACGTTGGCCCAATTTTTTTTCCAACGTTTGCCCATTGTTGGTAGTCCTACGTTGGCCCACGGTCATTTTGCTAATCGGCCCAACGTTGGTCCAACATGATGGCATATTGTTGGGCCAACGTAGGTATAATTGTAAGCCAACTAACAGCCAACCTTAACAACTGGTTGGTTAGGTTGGCCCAATGTTGGGCCTTTGTTGAAATGTCAGATGGCATATTGTTGGGCCAACGTAGTTATTATAGTAAGTCAACTAACAGCCGACATAGAAACAACATTTGCAATCGGTTAGTTAGGTTTGCCCAACGTTGAGCCTTTATTGAATGATTGGTCCGATATTTACGGTTTATTGGCCTTAAGCTTCTTTCTGTTGGCCAATTGTTGGATGAAACTTACATCTGTTTAAATAAATTGAATGAATACTTCTTGAAAATACATTTATAAATAATTCTTTATATAGACCTTTCTCATAATTGTTTAAAAAAAAAATAATACACACTTCAACCTGCATTCATAATGCTTACACGTTCAAAGAAAACATTACAAGTGATTCACTGTAAAATTATTTTATAGATATATATCAATTCAATCAGAATTTACAAAATTACTTTTAAAATAGATAGTGGTGGAAATGTATGAAAAAAATATTATTTAAAGTTCTTAATCCTGGCTCACTTCCTCTATCACTGTCCTTTTGTTTTGTTTCCCGCTCTTTCTTTTTCCCCCCTTTGTCGCCTCCCCAGGCCTCCATCTTGATCTTAGGCATACATACTTCATATAGTCCTTTATGTTCTTCAGTTTCATTGTCAGTTACCGCTACAACATTTGTTTTCCTTACAGTCTCTGATTGAAAATACAAATAATTGGTATTGGAAACAAAGCAAATACGTACAGACTCCAATATATAAATCATGTAATTAAGTCTTTTAAAGACAACGATGTAAAATACTACTAGTACATGTTGATCTATAAACTTTAATATCCTGGTTAAAATCATAATCGTGTATGCAATAGACAATAGATGGAGACAAGTTGAAAGATGTTTTTTATTTTACTTAATTATTATTGTATTTCTTAATGAGCACTAGAAGTTACTGTAAATAAAAGTTTAAAGTACATGTATGTGCCAACTGTATACACATATATAATTCATATTTACATTAACTTATATAGTGCTTGTGAGCATAAACAAGAAAAGGATGAATTCCGAACAATTTTAACAGTAAACTTGAATTAATAAGAATAATTATTCTTACATCGCTTCTAAGATGCAGCTGTAACAATGGTATAATCCATAGTTTATAAATCTCCCTTCTTACTTGCTCTGCATTTTGAGTCTATCACCCACCTGTGAGCAATTGAATCTGACAGCTCACCCAACAGTTTGGTGTTTTAATCGCCGCGACTCTCCAAGCTTTAGCGAACGCCTAACTTTTGTTTCAATTTAATTATAAAGCTGTGTTATCTTGATTTATGTATATGTAGGCTTCATTCACATCCTGTTCTTGGGAATGTTATTCAGTCTTCTCTTATTCTCATGAATACAACGCTCATGAAATAATTCATAATTTAGAACTAAGGATTTTAAAACTAATTAATAATCATGCACCCATTAAAAAAAAAACAGAACAAAAAACTTTTTGGTGCTGTGATCACTTTAGCTCAAAGATAAGAATGGTGAAAATATCAGATCTAAACAGATGCAGTCATCCAATTAAAAGCAAGGACAGCGAATGCCCTCTATTATTTCAGAATGTGCATCTAAATTAATGTTTTGCAATCAAATAAGCTTGCAACACAACAGTTCAATGGGGCAACATTGGGAACATAACGATTTAAGAACTTGGAACCAACGTTGGCCCAACGTAACGCTCATCAGATTACATGGACACCATCATTTAGTTGGCAGTACAATAATTGGGCCAACATTGGCCCAATATAAATATCCCATCTTGAAACACTTATACATGCTAACATCGGGCCAACGCTGGGCCGACGTACTACTACCAACTTGATTAGACATTTTCAGTAAGGGTGTATTACAAACGTTGGGCCAACATTAGAATCCTAACTCCCTTTGAAAGTTGAGCGAATATAGAAGTTGGTTACGTTGGACCAACGTTGGGCCAACATAGGAATCCCAACATGATCAAGAAGGTTGACATGGTTACATTGGTCCAACGTTGGCCCAACGCTGTCCACCCAACGCCAACCATACAACCATTTACCAATGTTGGCCCAACGTAGTCATGCTATTTGGGTAGCACATACATGTAGTAGAGACTTTAAGAAATATCTTTCTTTAAGACATTTGAAAGGTTTTCTTTGTAATAAATGTCGACTGCGGCCAGTTTTCAGAAAAGGAAATTAGATGCTATATTCTTTGCCTGATAATAAAATGTTTCCTATTTACTTCAGCATTTATTGACATACTAGATTAAGAAATCTTTCATAACACCTATGTCCGATCTTGAAATTATTAATTTTTGGGGGATTTATTTAGTACAAGTCTCGAGTACCACCCAGCTTCCAGTAGGAACTACAAATCTTAACTTCCAAGTGACTGACGGCTGTGGAAACTCCGACACAGGAACGTTGACAATCGTTGTTACTAACAAGGTAAAAAAGAAGACTACAAGAAATTGTTTTCTATAACATCAAACGGTTATTAGAAATAAGGGAATGTTTGATGCTGTTAGACTAGGTTTTCTCCTTAAAATCAGCCAGAGTTGTATTGTTCAATATACAATAATAATATAATTCTTAAAACATTTATACGAGTACACTTATGAATACTAGATACGAGGAAACCTTTGCCCCCGTTTTATTTTCGCCTCTTTCGTCTACTCTCAGGTGTGCAAATTTAAAACGGAGCAAATTCAAAGAACACATTATAATTTCGTAAACTGAACTGCGACTGGGCGAATTTAAAACGGGGCAAAATTGTTTTCAACTGTGCAAAGGCGAAAATAACACGAGGCGAAAATAACCCTGTATACAATAACTTACACACAAATTACGCTGAGAATATTAATTTGTCCAAGAATAAGAAAATTTGACACAAGCATCTTAATTTTCTGCAATATTTATGAAATATATAAATATCAACATTTTTATTTTTTATTATCATTATAATTATTAAGATTAATATTGTTATTGAAAACTTACTTTAGGGTACGAAAATTTTCAGATGAATTTCAAATTTAATACTTAACATAAAATAATGTTAGCTCAATATTTCAACTTTTAAGATCTTACAAATTCGCTATTAAAAGTGTACATTTCGTTATCTTTAGCATCAGTGGGACACAAAATTAGTTCGTTTTTTTCGTAAATTCGTTATACCATGAGTTCGTTATAACCTTAAAATTTTACCAATCCCAAAAAATCTATATCCGTAAATTCGCTATTTCCGTCTTCGTAATAAACGAGCTATACTGTTCTCTGTTTGGAGATTAACTACATTCTATGCATCATAACATGCTGGAGATTAATCAGCGTAAATAACATTTTATTATTATAGTTCCTAGAGAAATAGCTCTTTAAAAACCATGATGCAAATTGTGCCCACTCAAGTTCGTCTGGAACGAAGCAAGTTAAACAACAAACAACCCCTTTCCATGTTTACCATGAAACACCTCAAAACAACATAGTCGGGGTCGTTAAAAAAAGTACGTGTTTCATGTCAGATAAAGAGATGGATTCGTCCAAGCGTGTTTTATAGATCATGAACATTTTCTAGTCCTTATGTAAACAAAAAATCATTAAGTTTATGAAATTCACAACAATTTTCTTTGTCAACTAAGATATTACATGCATGTTGGAAACATCCTTCAAAATCCAAATCAAAGCTCCCTTGGCTTTTAATTCATTTTTTTAAAATAGAAAATATAATCATTCAACCAAAGAAGATTGTAATTGGATCTTTCTACATATAGGATTGTTTGTTTGATAACGTCCCTTGGAGGGTATGCATATTTAGACCTGTATTCGGCACTTACGACCTTCGAGCAATGAGGGATCTTTTTCGTGCCAGCACCTACTGCGACGCGGGACCTCAGTTTATACGGACCGCACTCAGCGTCCCGCAGTGGGATGCGAACCCGCGACATAAAGATCATCTCCTTTCTCCGCGATTCTAGAGCAAACGCTCTAACCACTGCGCTTCTCAAGTGACAGGATTTTTATGAAAATGTTGTTACAGCCTCCAGAAATACATAATCTACCTTTCAATGTTGATGTCAGTGAGAGTCAGACAGCAGAGAAGGAGTTGTGTGTCGTAAACGCCACAGACCCATCACAGTACGATACAGTCACATGCAACATTCAATCTGTCAGTCCAGCAACTACCATCTTTTCCGCAAGGATTTCCAGTGGCTCTTGTAAGAAAAAGTAAACATACTGCTTGTTGTGGAAAGAAGTTGTTATTATATTATTAACAATATTGCCATGTTTCTTGGAGATCTATATATTACAATTGATAAAGCTAAGGATAACCTTTATCAAAATAGCCAAGTCACTTATTCAGCTTTTCTACATAGATGATCAGAATCTTTGCTTATTGTTTTGTTATTTTAAGACGAAATGTTTTGCATTTTTCAGCATATGAGATTCAATAATAATGCACTTTTCTGTCATTTCCATGGTAGACGTCTTATAAACTGCTTCAAAAAATCACGACTGATAAGACCGATTTTTTTTTTTTACGTCAATGTGCTGCTGCCTCACACGTGAAACATAAAAAATATCCTAAGAACAAATTGAAGGGGGGAAATTTACATGCTTAGATGTTTACATCTCTCTCTCTCTATATATACATGTATATACGAGGGTTGTTAAAAAAGTTCGCGGACACATTGATTTTCGGAAAATCTATTGTGTACTGTGAAGTATGACTTATGTCTGATTAAATTCCTATCTTTTGTTTAATAGTATGTAAAAAAAAATCAGGTCCATTTACTAAAATGTTGAAAATTTACAACAATTTTTACTATGCGGTCATAGGATTCACGGAGCAATCACTTGACGTTAAGTGACGTGACAAACAGATTTCAAACCCATTAAGCTTTTTCATAGTTCTAAATATCTTTCTTTTCTTCCGACTTTTCTCGTCTTTTTCTACTTAAAAATTAAATATCTATATCAAGACATGTTACTTTTCTTCTATAAAGTCTTTTGTGCTGTTTCGGATATTAGTGAGATCTTAAAATAAATGTCCACGCAGTTAAGAGATCAGATATGGAAACAATGCAAAATCCATAGGCGGCAACGTCCATGCGATAAGTGGGGTATTGAGGTATCGATGGAGTTGGTCATTAAAAATGTTAATCCTTCCATTCTTAAAAAGCTACTACCATTTGAATACTTTTGTCCTTTGTACATGTAGGAAATTTTCAGCAACATCTAGAAGCATTTTAGTCTATTTTTAGACATTTTCCTGTCTGCAAACATAATTTTTTAGTAGCTCGGTGCTCCATGACGTTCAATGACGTTCCCATTCTTGGCTTTGTTTTTACGCGTTGACTATTTGTAAATGGCTATAAAACAGTCATTCAACCTCCAATTTAATTCAAAATTTCGGCAAGTGACGTTTTATTAATACTGTAGCGACAGGTAAAATATCATAATTCTTTCTGCGCTACAACTGTGCAATTTTTAATTTCAATAAAAAGTCTATGTAATGTATACGTGCGAAAAAGTAGCATGTTCCGTGAAGCATGCTTTATCAAAATAATATAGCTGTATATTTTTTAAGGATCACCGGAAAACAATAAATCTTTGTATATTTATTGGAAAATAGGTAAAGTTTTTATCTGGAGAGTTTAACCGGTTTCATGGAAATAGCGCGCTCACAATAGAACTTGTCCGCGAACTTTTCTAACAACCCTCGTATATATATATATCTATATCCTAGTATAGTTTCTACAATTTTACTGTTTGTAGTGTATAGTGTGTACTTACAAGCTAATCCTTCCTTGTCTTACGACTCTGTGAATGCATACGACATAACCATTGCTTGCACGGACACCAAAGACACAGTGACGGGAACCTTAAATGTTTACATCACGCAAAATAATCCACCAGTGTTCACTAACTTACAAGGTACATAATCTTCTCATGAAGCACAGCATGTGTAAATTGTAATTGTGTAGTCCATTGTGTTGCCTGGAGAGTAAATCAGTGGCGGATCCAGGAATTTCGTAACGGGGGGAGGGGGGGGCGCAGTAGTAGGCAAGGGGGTCTGGGGGCTGTATTGAAGCCCCAAGTGGGTATAGGACAAAGCCCTGGTAGGGGTCCGGCGGCGAAGCCCCCTGAAGCTGATAAATTCATACAAATAAGAGATGTTTTTTCCTTGATTTTAGGATAATGGACATATAAGTTTTATATACAAAAAATTCAAAAGGGGGGGGGGGGGCGCAATCCCGGTGCGCCGGCCCTGGATCCGCCTTTGTAAATTCAACTTATTATCTGGTTATTTTCTAGATTTAAAAATTCTAATCGAATTAATTGATGTGCTACATGAAAACATTCTAATTTCTAAGGCGATATATTTTCCTTAGCCTCTGTTAATGTAACAGCAACAACCACAACAGGCACCAGTGTTTACACAGTAACCTCATCAGATATTGAAGGGGATCAACTTTATTACAATATGACATGCTCTTTGCCTACTTGTCCATTTGCGATTTATCACTGTAGGTATCATACTTACCACATTAAAATTACCAACTTCTTTTAAATTAGGAACCTTTCTGTTACTCTAAAGTATTTTCTAGCTGGAGATGTGAGATCAACAAATAATCTCATAGGATATACGCAGGCGGGATACGATCTGTATATTTATGTCTATGACGGAAGATCACTGGTTGGTCCGAAAACTTTGACAATTGTTGTGACAGGTAAAAAAATCATGCAGGTTTGTTTTAAATTTCTATTTAAACTATTAGAGTAGGTTATGTACACGTTTCCCAGTAATATCTCACAAGCTTAAGGCTCTACAATTTTGATGAATTAAACTCTGTTTTCAAAGTAAGAAAAAAGTGTTCGAACAATACAAAAATTGAGCTTAGTCATTATTTTTGATATTAAAAATAGTTTGTTTCTGCTTTTTTATGTGAGTAAACTCTTATTTTTAAAGAGTAATTGTTCATTTATTTTTCTTCACTTTTCCGGAATTTCAAGTTTTTCAACACGTCATTCAAAAAAGTGTAATTTAACCTCTTATATTACACGTAATGTACATTTAAATACGTATGATTCTTGATACAGTTGTAAACCTGGTTTCATCAAACCTAGCAAGCCGAAAATTATTAATTCCAGGGATTAACACTGCGCCTAGTATAACAAATCTACCATTGGCATCTGCTATAACCGTGTCTGAAAACTCTGCACTAGGAGCCTCAGTATTCCAGGTGTCGTACAGTGATATAGATGCGACAGACACACATGTATTTACAACTACCTACTCCCCGGCTGCCGGCGGAAACATCTTTACTACTAACGCTGCAAGTACGAATTTCGTATGAAGGTCGATGTAATAGATATGATAAAAGAATACTTAAGTTAAATGTCAATATGTTCTTATTTTTCCTGAGATAGCCTACATTTATAGTGTGTCCCATGGTACCAATGTTTTATATATATATATATATATATATATACATTGTATATATATATATATATATATATATATATATATATATATATATATATATAATTTTATTTCAAAATACGAAATACATTGACCCTTAAAAAGATTCAATTAATAGATCATTTTTCAAAAGAAACAATCCCTTAAGTTCAATGTACAAAAGCGCTATACAGCAGCAATGCAAATTCTACGGGGATTTAACATTACAAAACTGCCTGCCACTTCTAAATGGATCGTGATTTTCCCTTTCTTGCCATCATTTGAATAAAACAATGACGTTGCACAGGTTCGGAATCTGGAAATAACAACTCCCTCGCGCGCTTGACAGCAATGCCTGTAATTAACATTGTCGATTTCCGTAAACTTCAAAACCACATGATACTTCATGGTTTCAAAGTTGTACGCATCCGGTCTGAAGAAAATAGTTTGGATATTATAAAATTTCATGATTAGTCATATTTTCTTTGAAGACAAAAAAATTACGTATCTTAATTAAAATGTGAGATGGAAGCACTCATATGGAACAAACTATACATTATTCCCCCTCCCTTCTCTCTCCAGTTAAAGTCAAGAAACTCGCTTGTCTATCCAAACGCTCGATTGAACTTTTGAGATCGAAGTGTGTCTTGTGTCTGTAAATAACTGTGGTTAATCACTGGTAGCAGATATACGCTTAAAGGGAAGAAAAATCAATATTACAAAGACATACAGCATTTCCAGTGTAAGTGATACACGTTATACGCATCCTTAGATCAATGCAAGTTTGGCCAAGATAGGAGAAAGAATTAATTTTAAAAACTTTTATGGCAATTCATACAGAAAATAGATTTCACCGGAATATGTCAGTATATAGCGATGGGATAATCTTGTTACATAAGTTTTCTTAAAAGAACGAGAGCCGTTTGATTGGCATTTGGCGGGAATCTGGGCGCCTTCAAAAGTAAAAATTTCATTGATCTGCCACATAAAAATCGAGCATTCCTTTCAAGTATCAGGTTCCTTTAAAATGGAAAGGGAAATATTTTCCTGACATTTTGTTTTGATTTTCAAAAAAAAAAAAAAAAAAAAAAAAAAAAAAAACGAAACAAAACAAAACCAAAAATTTGCTATATTTGGGTCATCTCTCATGTTTTTAAAACTTTACTTATGTGCATTTTATTTCATATAAACCATTGAAACATTTTAGCTCACCTGAGCCTAAGGCTCAAGTGAGCTTTACTGATCGAAATTTGTCCGTTGTCTGTCGTTGTCGTCGTCGTTGTAAACTTTTCCCAATTTCATCTTTTTCTCCAGAACCACTGGGCCAATTTCAACCAAAGCATCCATGGGTGAGGGGGATTCAAATTTGTTCAAATGAAGGGCTACGCCCTCTTTCAAGGGGAGATAATAAAGAATTGGTGAAAAATTAATAGCATCTTTTAAAAATCTTTTTCTCAAGAACCACAGGGCCAGGAAAGATGAATCTCATGTGGAAGCATCCTCAGGTAGTGTATATTCAAGTTTTTTTTCAATTCATGACCCCCGGGGTAGGGCGGGGCCACAATGGAGGATCAAGTTTTTTCAAAGAAATACATAGGAAAAACCTTTAAAAATCTTCTTCTCAAGAACAGCAAAGCCATGATAAGTCATATTTATATGGAAGCATCCTCAGATAGTGTAGATTCAAGCTTGTTCAAATCATGACCCCCGGGGGTAGGGCGGGGCCACAATGGACTATCAAAGTTTTACATTGAAATATACAGGAAAAATCTTTATCTGACCAGTAGAGCTAAAAACCAAGTCGTTTGACAGTTTAACTCTGTGTACTGATTTATTAGGGCCCCGCTCTGCGGGCGCCCTATAGTGATCAGTCTGTCCGTCCGTCTGTCCGTTCGAGATCTCTTGTCCGGAGCATATCTTCTCTCTCCTTGGCCCAATCTGGCTATTTCACCCACAGAGTGTCTTTGTGTAAAGGGTGTGCAGTGACCTTTAACCATGTTTCTAGGTCTAAGGTTAAGGTCATAGCAGAATTATACGAAAAATCCTTGTCCAGAGCGTATCTTCTTTCCCCTTGGTCCAATGTGGCTCATACTTCACTCACAGAGTGCCACTGGTCAATGGAAGTGCAGTGACCTTGAACGAAGTTTCTAGGTCAAGGCCAAAAATAACCTCTCTGTTTAAAATCTTTGTTCTGTGCATAATTTCTTTCCCTTAAGTCCAGTCAGCCTCAAACTTTACCAATTGATTTTGGTAGAGGATATGCAACATTCGTGATTTTTGTGCCGTTTTTTGATAGAGGGTATGAAGCACTCGTGATTTTCGTGCCATTTTTTTTTATAATAACAAGGAATACATATAGAAGCTCTCTGGACTCAAACAACACATCCCGTAATAGTACACAGATGTTCTTCTTCAAAATAAACCCTTTTCAGCTACCTTACATTTTCATGTTCGTTGCTGAAAGCGGGGCCCTTTGAGATGGCCACCATCTCAATGATATCTAGTTAAAAATTTAAAAACAGATGAATTATTGTTCAGTTGCACCGAGAGCTAAAGCATTCCTTCAACCTACTGAAACTTTAATATACATATAACTGCATTAAACTATTACCTTTTATCTTATTTGACCAGGTATTTCAATGTAAATGTAACGTGTTTTATGTGCGTAGCTTTGTAGTCTGTCCAGCTGTGGTCAGCTGAACAAATCGTGGAATTTAAACTAAAAATGCTTCGTACAAGATTTCTGCAGAACACACGCCAAATACGCCCATCTTCTTTCATATTACAACAGAAATAATAATTAAAAATATATGAATGAACTCGCTATTTCCTTCGGAATAAAAGTTTCACCTGGACTTTGTCAAGGAAACAGTTAAAGGAGATACATCACTGTATATGGCTATATACGACATATAAAACCTCGGACTGAGCGAGCAGTGAAAGATTTAACCTCACAGAAATCGTATAGTTACTCATTATTTTTCAAGTCCAAGTAATGTGACTGGTTCCTCTTTTCAAAATAGCATTTGTTGGAATACTTTTACATTTATTGGCGTAATTGCAATTAAAAATCTACATGTATTACGTATTAAAACAAACTGGAGATATGTTATATGCACCATAAAGTGCATATGTTTGTAATATTGGTGCAGCTTGTTTTATATGCTTTGGTAACTTTATCAGACCATTTACATGTATAATTTACAGCGGGTTTAATTTCAACATCCTTTACAACAAACATCAACTACGAGAGTCTCGCAGCAGCGTCCATTGACGTTAATATTCAAATTTCTGATGGTACGGACTCGGCAACGTCCAATCTTACTATTACCATTTTGGACTTAAACGAGGCTCCGATTTTTGGGAAAAATCTATATTACCTTACCGGGCCAGAAGGATCTGTAAGAGTTAACATTAATTCAAGTTAATTTGACAGTAATTTAACAGTTAAGTTTTTAAAATTTTTGTCAGTGAATTCATCATTACATAATCACTGATTCTAGGCCGGAAGTAGTGTAGGAACACCTGTTTTTGACGTCACAGATCCAGATACAGGAGCTACTCAAAAGTACAGCATTAACTGTCCAGAGTTTAACATGAACACAAATACAGCTGCTGTCACATTAGCAACAGAATATGATCTTGATATCAGCGGAACCGCTTCAGTGGTCACATGTAATGTCACTGTGACAGACGGTCAACTAACAGCAACGTCAGTGTTACAAGTTACACTGAACAATATCAATGACAACACACCAACTTTCAGCCAATCATCCTACACATTCTTTGCCCAACCAAACGTGGGTGTAGGAACCGTCCTTGGTTCCATACTTGCCACAGATGCAGACATAGGAGCTTTCGGTAAACTTTCCCTCAACATGCTTTATTAAACCTTTTTTATTTATTTAACAAACACAAGAATACACTTACATAAAAATAGTATCTGAGTGACTAGATCTTTTGAGCACCCTTTTGATCTAATTTTTACATTACATTTTTGACTTGAAGAACAATACAGATATATAAAGGCAACATAATCTTGTCATTATAGCATTGTTTCCAGAGAAAGAGTGCTATATATCAACATAAAATTTGTCTTGTGTTATATTTAGGAACATTATCATACACCCTGGATCAAATATCTCTTGGGAACCAATATTTTGGTGTACAGTCAAATGGAGACTTCTACGTTAATGCTCAACTGACAACCTTTTCAAATGGACAGACATTGAGTGTAACAGCTATTGTCACAGACTCGGGGGGATTAAATGGTAGGCAACAGAAGTATCAATTATTTAATGCAATGTAGAAAAAGGTCGCTTACTGATCTCTGCTTTTATAGAGGATTTAATATGACTGTTACGAAATCTAACATGAGGATGATATCAGAATACGGGGGAGAGGATATTTTCCAAAACACAGGCCTTCCTACAAGACACAGATTATAAATGAAGGTTTAGTAAGAGTTAAGAAAATTTACTTTTCTTCATTAAATGTCAACAAAATGTCTAAATTTACAATGATAAATAATTGTACAGTTACCCCTTATTCTAATGCAGACACAGCCACAATAACTATTGTGATACCCCAGTCGACTACTGCAGCCCCCACTACAACTACTGATCGACGTGTGACCTTTGCCGAAGACCCCCGAAATGTCGCGTGGATGTCTGCAGCTGTGGTCATCTTTATAGGAATTGTTGGTCTAATGGTGTACCAATCTTTTCGCTTTGGTGATTACGCCAGGATAGGGAAATGGTGCCAAAAGTCAAGGTTAACCACTAGATTTTTTTTTACTATTAAAAACATATCCCTTATTGGTAGATTGATTGATTACTGCATGTTTAACGCCGAGTCGGCAATATTTCAGCCATATTTCGGCGGATCCTTTATTGGTACAAACAACAGATCTATGTTTACGAGATAAATGCATCTCATCCAATTATTTGAGTAAGGAGGGATTATTTATCAACTTTATTGACCTTTGAATGTATTTTATTAAAATTAACAGAATATTTGAGGTGAAATATTCTGTAAACTTTTATTTGTCGACGGAAAAATCAGCAAGCATTACTTTTAAATTAATCGTTTGATAGCGAATATTTCCCGATGCCAGCCACTTATGTAACTGTGTTATTACAATGAATGTCATACATGTACAATTACAGTCATACATAAGAATTACTATCGAGTTTTGACAGTTTTCCAAAAAAGTGATAAAACTTCCCAAATGGTGAACAATAATTTATTTCAACCGTCTAAAATAAATTTTATTACTATTTTTTAATAGTACGATTTACTATTAAGCAAAATGCGTCTTATTTAAGAGAGTTTTAAATTAGTATTGAATTTTTTTTTATCATTTAATGAAGCAAATCATAAAGTCACATTGCCCCCCCCCCTCCCCCCCCCCCAAAAAAAACACGAACATTTACAATATCTTTTATTTCACTCGTATTGTTTCACTCAAATTTAAAAAAATTGGCATGCACCATATATAAGCAACATTTTTGGAAACACATCATGAAAAATTTCAATTAAATATCTCTATAAATACATGTAATATTTGTTTCGATTAAATAATGTTTACGAAAAAGCTGTTGTCGGCGCAAGCAACTTTGACCACTTCAAAAACAGCTAGTTGTGTTTGTGAACTTGATAAGAATAATGCGTCTTTCAAAATTTGAAGTGTAAATTCGACACTGTGCTGTATTTGATTTTCTGTTAGCTTTAGAATAACCTATATTATACATACTAAAGTTACACATCAATCGCGAAATAAATTCTTTTTAATAGGAAATTTTCCAACACCGATCAAAAACCTAACTGCTCGCGGTCTCAATGTATGACGTCCAGATCCTGACTTTCAAGTTCGTCGTCATTTTTGTTAGCCTGCCAATCGTCTTATCCATCGGATAAGCAATCCTACCAACCTTGAAGAACCTTATTTACTAGGTGTAAACCAGTGTCTGAGACACGTGTTTGTGTTATTTCATCATTTCCACCTCTTTTCCCATTTGAACAAGAGTCATACCACGCTCAACACAGTACTGCATGATTATTTATTTGGTGCGCCGCATTATTGCCCGACTTCGTTGAAATATCCAACGAAAATGTGTTAATGCATATACAGTTATATCTAATGTATTTACAAATGTCAGATAAGGTGTGATATACTCTATTCCGATAACATAACTTGACAAATTTGGTTTCAACTTAAAAAATATGAAATATTAACTCTATTCTTCTTTCTACAGTAGAAGACCTTCATTTCGACCAAGACAGAGTTACAGGTTATCCCATTATAATACTAGAAGTAAGTAAATGTAGGCTTTGTTACCTCCAGTTTAAATCCATATTAGTGGTGGAAAGAAGTCAGAGGGATTTAATTCTGTGGTAACTAGTGTCTCATTGCAGCCCGGAGAACCGGGCTGCTCTATACATATAAGTTTAAGTGTTGGTATATGGGGATTGAGGTGGGAGAAGTTATTCAGAATTAAAGGTTTTCTAAACATTAAAAAGATTGTTAATCAGAATGTTCTTTCCCTTTATATAGTACGAGATACACAATATGTTTACTTCCATAAAGTGAATCTGTAAAAATATATATGTTTTTCATATTTAATATATAAAGTTCCTTATCATTTACTATCGAAAAAACGACAGGTCCCTTTTTTTAGAACATCGAATTTTACTTGTCGCATAAAAACGTAAAAATGTACTTTACACAGTTCGTGTTTTATATTCTTAAAGTGAAAGACATTTTTGAAAATAGGTGATGCATGTGTCTGGTTTCAAATTATATTTTATGCAGCCAACATTCACTTGAGAAATTGATAAAGTTTAAAAAGGTATCGTTTTTGTTCGATTTTCATCCGATTATAAGTTTTCAAAATATTCTCGACTATTGTCTCCATCATTTAGACGCATGCCTTTTTCACACATACACTGTAAAAAATGTGCTTAGGAAATAAACACTTCTATTACGTGTTTAGATCTAAACGTGTTTGATATTGTGTTTAACAACAAAACACTTATGTCTAAATGTATTTAAAATCTATACGCGTTTAGATATTGAACATGTTTTTTGTTTTAAATTCGGTCAAGTGCAGAGTTATCTTCCCGGAAATGATACATATTTGAACGTTAATAAGCGCGGTTGTCGAAACAAAGAAAATCACAACAAAACAGTAAACGATGTTTTCAAGAAAGCTGAAGAGAAATTGAGTGCCAACCACCGCAGAAATAGTGAAAAAACATGTGAAAGGCTCATTGTTATTGCTGTAGTGTATGTATACTTTTGTTTTTATATTAAATAAACATGATGAGCAAAGTAAATAACATTGCATTTTATACCAAGGATGTTTTTCGGTGTTATATCCATGTATTCATTAATGAGAGTAAATATTGAATCTATAGTTGCAATAATATTTATTTAAACATTTTTATTATATGCTTAGTAATTAATGTAAAACTTCAGCATGTTCAGTGAGGAGCACATACTTTTACTTAAATGCAACGTACGTCCTTTCTTACAGGTTAACTTAATTGGATAGCCGAGAGAAAGAACAAAATTCATTTCTGATAATGGATGCGAGTTATACTGCCGTAAAAATACCTTCAAGATTATCCAGATACTCTACTGGTTTGTTTACATCACGACGGATTTGAAATAGTGATCCGTATTGCATCACACTGCAAGAAGCACACCATAGCTGGAGTCTTTTACATGTATATTTACTTTGTATTGTGCTGCTGGTACAAAATGCGGACAATTCATCACAATTCAACAACTTGGATGTTACTAACTCTTTAGATGCCAGTTAGTTTTATATGTCAAAACTTCTAAAAGACTGTAACAAACAATGGAAACCATTCACAAGTAAAAGGAATTCCACCGAACAATGATTCCGTGACTGTGTGAGAACACTTTACTGTGTGTTAGGCCTCTTTTTATCATTTTAATATGATGTTTAGAAGTAAATAAAACTTAAAACGGACACACCTCTTAACGTTATATGTTTGGTTTTCTTGCAGATCCTTGTTTAAAACATTGATATGTTTAGCTTCTAAACGCGAATCTAAGTGTTTAGAATTGTGTTTAACCTCTAAACATGTATGTATTTAGGTTTAAAACACTTTTCATTACGCGTATTGAAATTCAACATGTTTAAAATTTAAACGCATAAAAAAAAGTGTGACAAGAATGTGCTTAGAAATGTGTCTCTCATCTAAACACATTTTTTACAGTGTATCGAAGCGGTTTGATGATCAAGACTCATTCCCATTGTTTACTTTATTTATTTCCCGGGCGACAATTGATGGTTACATCAATGTTTTCTTGTTCCTTTTGTTGCTTACTTAAGAATGGTGAAAAGTAGAAGCTCTGTTGTACTCTAAAGTTCATTTTGAGTGTGAAACAGTTTAAGGTGACCTGAGACACAAAGAAATGTATGTCTATCATCTATTGTTCCGGCCTGTAATCGTCTCTTTTCGTTTATCTTTGAACATATACAATTTAATTGCCAAAATTTAAACCAATTTCAGAGCATTTTGGAAAAGTCCGAAATTGCGTAACAGTGCCTGTCTAAAAATATATAGAACCACTGGGCTTCAAAAACGCTTTATTTAAAAGCTTTCTGACCTGGTGTAATTTCAGTTTCTTCAATTCATGATACCCAAGAGCACAGAAGAGCCAGTATAGAATTAAGGGATCAAAGATTTACAAAGGTCATGATTAGACATATTAATATATAGGTATCCTCAGGTAATGTAGATTAGATGATGCTAGAGAAATTCACACCGAATATATTAAAAACGTGTTAAGAAATTTTCTTCATCATTAATACTACGACTTTCGGGACATGTTTGATTGACACACCGTTACTTTTAATGGTGCTGCCATAGTTTCAAGTCTAAGTTGATCGACATTCTTTTTCTCTGTTATACTAGGTACAATTCATTAGAGCTGACGTCTAGAAACTTCTGGTTTTCTAATATATCAACAAATAAGTCTAAATCACAATGTTGTTTATTTTTTTTAAATTATGGCCCTGTATGAAATGCGGGAGCTCCTCAGGAATCACATTGTCCGCCCGTCCGACTTTCTGTCCATGAACAGGCCCGTAGAACGCGGGGGGGGGGGGGGCTTTTTCCGGAGTATAGTATTTTGCTTTAGTTACAGTGTAATTATCCTTTAGATGCTTCCTCCCCCACCTCTTTTTTTCGCTGCAAGGTGGTGCACTGGCAAGTTCCAGGATTTGGACGGTAAACTAGGTTTTTTTGGGGGAAAAAAATTGCTTATCAAATTATTTTGGGAAGTTGGCCCCTTCACTTTTTGGTCAGTTTAGATTTTTGTTTTGCTTGTCAGATTGCCATCCCCCCTTTTCTTTGAAAACGTTTGCTACGGGCCTGATACACTTTTGTGACGCGATAACAAAAACAGTTTTATATGAAATGTTTCAAAACTTTATACAGAAATTATACTTTAATAAAAGAAGAAGACACATATACATTTTGAGTCATATCGCTTTGCCTGTCTCTATGTATTTCCGAATGTACGAGTTTATAATGAAAACTTTCGTTGCGATGCAAAATATCATTGCAATTTAAAAAATCCAAATTTTGTACATAAGTATAACTATGAGAGGTAGGCTATACACATTGGGGTCATATTGGTTTGTATTTCTATACTTTAAGTATGCCCAGATCTATATCATTGAGCACTTTTGTTGTGATGCGATTTCTGACTTAGTTTTTATTGTATTTCCAAATGTACGAAAGTACTGTAGTATAAGAGGATTACACATGCATTTTTAAGTCATATTAAATAGCTTTGGCTGTCTTTTTATATATATGAATGTATTTTGGTTATGACTAAATAAGTCACAACTATATCAAATTTTGTACATAAAGCGGTGGCCATAAGAAAAAGACGCAACACTTTTGTATTGACGTAATGACTTAGATAGTAGTTCTATTTATTAGTGATTTTTCCATGTCACATTCCGCATGTGGTAAAATTAATTTATGAAGCACAGTTGTCACTTTCCTATTACAGCCCTAAGTGAGGCAATCACAGTTCTGTTTTTAAGTTAGCTTTTGAATGCATCACATGTTGCCTTAATAAAACATGTTATCACTATCTATGAAGTGAATTTTTAACCTGATATCGTCCTTCTCTAGGGATTCAACAGATACCTGAGATTCGGTACAACTCTCATATCCCAGAAAGCGATTGGAAACCATGGCAAACCGGAACGCAAGATTTATGAGTCTCATCAAGGTTTAATCCATTCGTTTAAAAAGTCTTATATTGCGAATAAAATCATTTTGTAGCAATATAGCTAATTTCTTTAAACTTTGCTTATATTCACAGTATACATGTATTTGTTGCTTTTATCATGTGTATATTGAATAAAAATCTTAATACATTTGGTGGATTTGTTTACATAAAGAATGTTGTCACAATGAACAATCGTAATTTCAATACAGAAGAATTATTATTTCCTGGGGGAGGGGGTTCCACATCAACTGTAACAAATGTCAGACACGGAAATTTTTTGACAAGCAAAAAAAAACTATATGTAAATAAAAAAAAATAACTTGTCAATTTCTTCTGATAGATTGGGGTCTTTGTTTCCTAAGCTGAGAGATTTCCAAGGCCATTTTATCGTTACATTTTTTCTAATACATGACTCTACTTTACCGTTTTTTAAGGGATCCGTGTTCTTCAAAGGAATTGGTCCAAGGTCATTAATTTTCCATAGAAATTTAATAAATCGGAAAATTCCAGGGGGTTTCTAACCTATCACTCTAGATCCGCCAATGCTATATTGTAACCTTTTTCATGGGAACAACACTACAAATATTATATTGTATTCTTTCAATAGAAATTTTTGCCTTTTGGAAGCATTTCTTGTTGACTAGTGAATTCTCTAAACAATAAAGCTATAGGTCATTTTAAGTTGTACATTTAAGAAAGAAATAATTTACGTCGTTATTCAATGAAGGTGACGTTATGAATATCAATAGCGCTAGCTCTGCTTGCATATTCAATGGCTCGCGCTAACTAGTCAAGAAATTGAGTTTCTACGTTCTATCAAGCTGGAGGGCGTGGTTTTATCATTCAAAGAGTTACTAGCAGTGTTTTTCAACATACTTCTTTGTTATAATGTCTTCATTGCGTAATTTGTAACACTAAAAGACGAGCACTTATAGTTTTTCGTCATTTTTGCACTTTGTCTGTCCTATTTTCCCGCCAATTAGCACATACATGTACATGTAGCTTCTATGACGTACCTGTGATGATGTATAAAATTCACTTCCAAATAACAAAAAAGCGGCTTCTGAGAGGTAAAATTTCGTAACATGTTGTGATTTTACGACAAAAAAGACAAAATGGATAAGTTCATTGTGATTTTGGATACCTATCGTTTTTTTAAATATAAAATTAAGGTGATGATATGAAATGTTCAAGTAGACAAATGATTTTTTTAAAAAGACATAAGGACATATTTTATGAAATTGGTCAAGTGCTTTCGATGTCTAGTAAGTTGTTATGGTACAAGTCAAGCTCATTTTGATAGTTTACGAGATTGTACCTTGGATATAAGCATTACTTCTTTTTTTTTTTGACAGCTGCTTTTTCAATAAAAATGGAACCCGTAAATTTACTTCCGTTGCCATTGGTCATTTACAAAATTATTTTGTTAAAAGACATTCTGATTGTACACACAAGTACTCTAAAGTTGATATTAAAAAGATGTCTGAGTTTCTGATTGACAATATCTATGTGGTTTTTGGAGTCCAGATCTTGCAACAATCCGTTGGAATTCCCATGGGTACCAATTGCACCCCGTTGTTAGCAAACCTATTTTTGTATTCATATGAAGCAAAATTTATTCAAAATCTTATAAATGAGAAAAAGAAATCCCTTGCTGTGGCCTTCAACTCGACATTACGATATATCGACGACGTATTACCAATTGACAATAGTTATTTCCATTCATATGTCGACACGATATATCCCAGTGAGCTTGAAATAAGAGTTATCACAGAGTCTGACACATGTTTCATATTTGGATATTTTACTAGAAAAAGACGTTAATGGTAATCTAACAACAAAGCTTTATGATAAACGTGATGACTTTAACTTTTTATTGGTCAACTTCCCTTACTTATGCAGCAATATACCTTCATCACTTGCATATGGGGTGTATATCTCTCAGTTGATTCGATACGCAAGAGCAATCTCTAAAACGAGGTAAGTTATTGACAAACAAGTTGATGAAACAAGAATAACAACAGTCTCGTTCAAAGTCATCATTTCGTAAGTTCTATGGTCGGTACAATGACTTTATCAGCAAATACAATCTACCATTAAGTCATATGCTGACAGAAATTTTTCATACTAATTGCTAGGCCATTATTTACACACTGAATTGTCTACGGATTTTCCCGTTAGTTCCTAATCATGATATGGAGCACACAGCGGGTGTGACCAATCGGCAGGGGATGCTCACTCCTCCATGGCACCTGATCCCACCTCTGAAGTTTTTAGAGGTCCGTTGCTCTGCTCCCGATTTGTATTGTTTTAATGGATTTTGAGCTTGAATACTGTTCGTTATCTCTGTATTTCATAGATACAATCTTAATTTCAAAATTTGCAAGGTGAAAAAATCTATGATTAAAAAAATTAAGCTAAATGGATCTTTGTGCAGAAAAGGGACAAAAAAATCGATGTCTAGTCCGATTTGTAAGTCATTCATTTTAAAACGTTTTTTGGCCCTTAAAGTATAATGTAATGTCAAAAATAACTTTTTGCGCACTTGCCATTTCAATGAAACGAATACAACCCCGTCATCGACACAATTAAAAATTAATTAAAATACATGAAAAAAGGAGAGAACAAAAACTTAGAAGATAAAAGTAACATTAATACAGAAAGAACACCAAATCTACGAAAATCTATATTAAGACTGCAAGTGCTTATAAAAACAACGGCATATTATGACAGAAAAAAAGAACAAGAAATAGCACGAGAAAAAAAAGAGATAAAGCGGAAGCGAAAAGAATACATGAAAATGTACAGAAGACGGACAAAACTGGAAAGTTGCCCCCCCTCCCTCAATTTTTGAAACCTTACATATTAGAAACTTTCTTTATATAGTATTTATTATTACCTATAATACTTTGGATGCTCTGTTTCCATTTACATCAAGGATAAAGGAAGCAAATGTGCACATTTAACTAAATTTGTCAACATTTTTTGTTTAAAAAATAAAAATTAGCTTTTCAATCCATATGTATACATACGTGCATACCTAATAGCTATAGGTACTTAATACAAAAGACTATGTATTGATCAAGGCACCCATTTTTAAAAGCTTTACTAAGTGTGAAAAATTAAAACGCACCACTCTTACTTTATATATTTAAACAAATAACTATAATCATTAATTAACATTTTCCATTATAGCAAGTTTGTTACTATATAAAATTTTTACTTTGCTGCCATGAGGTTTTCAATTGTAAATATGCACAATTTAATTGTAAATCTATAAGCACAACTTACTTTTCATTTCAGTCAGTTTCATTAAAAATGTCAGTAACTTAGATCCGCCAAACTTAACCACCATCGTACTCTCTTTTTTTTGCTATTTCAGGGCTTTTTATTGAAAATGAAAGTAGACTGTTATTTGCAATAATTACTTCGCAAATGAAATCTGAATATGGTTAACTTTACAGACACCACCTTATACCTAGTGTATTCCTAGAGGAGTAAGTGTGAACTCTGGTTCGGGCGTTTCCGTTTTGTTTTGTTTTTTGCAAATTTATTAATTCATATGTATTGAATATCAATCAGGGATTTTCCACTGCCCCGTGTAGGGCCGAATTTCGGCCCCATTCCCAAAACCCTCCCTTCTCCTCCAAAATTCTACCCAATTTTTCCCCTCAAATTATTTCCGTTTAAAATTCGATCGGGATCGGAAGAAGTGAGCTTTTGTGCGTTTTGTTGGTCAGGTTGTGTGCCAAGAAATCCGCAGAAAAATATCTAGAAAATTACCCAAAAATCACTTATCTGTCATCAAAATCAGTGTCAAAGATTTAGAGGGCTTTAAGTGATGTAGTGGAAGAGTTGGAATTATTGAGGAATGCTCCTTCTTTTGCTTTACTAGCAGATGAAAGCATCGACGAGGGAAATCGAACCCAGTTTGCCCTCTTGGGCAAATGGCCCTCTGAAGGGAAGTTTGAAGATCGCTACCTAGGTCTCATCAAAGTGAAAAAAAACAGCAAAACAGATGCTCAGAGTCTTTTAGAGGCAATTCAACAATTCTTTTTCGCAAAAGTTGTAGATCTGGACAAAGTTAGATTCACAGCATTTGATGGTACTAATACAATGAGTGGTGAATTAGTATGTTAAATTTAAGTCACTGTGCCATTCTTTCTTAATCTACCTTTCATTTTGCTACAGATGTCTCATTTATTCATTGATTGCTGCAGTGGAAGATGCCTTTATATACACACCAGTTCTTCAAGCACTAGTAGTACTAGACCCTAGGAATTTACCAGAGAATATACAAGAAATCCCTGGATTTGGAGATGTAAGCATTTGATGTGCTAAAGTTATTTTTTTCCTGTATAAGTGTGAAAATAATTAATTTAGTTCTATTAATATTTCAATCATACAAGATTTTCTAATTTTAAAGGATGAAATGGACAGGATAGCCAATTTTTATGGAAATCCAAAGGAAGATACATTTATGAACCACGTCACAAATTGTGGCAGTGACCTGAATGCGCATGTCTAGGTGTGTGCCGAGTTTAAAGCATTCACGCATCAGATTTTTATAATGAGGTAACTTTTTCAAGGACATTTATAATTAGTATTGAAATTCAATTTTTTCAATTTAAGTACTCATAAATTATTTTCGATTAATGTAACATGTATTGTTGATTTTATATTTAGCACAGAATAAATTGTGTTTTTCCTCATGTTATCTACTAAGTTATTTTTCATTATCTTTTTTTTAAAGTTTGTTACTGTAACACATTGACAATTCCTTGATTTCAGCATTCATTCCTGAAAAATAACACCCTTACAAAACAGGTAACTTCCTTGGATAATGTATGAGGATTATCAAATATAATTTATATCTATTGACTCGATTAAAGAAAATTACATGTATAATAATATCTTACTCATACTGAACTCTTAGGTCACTAAGGAATGTAAAATAATTATGATACTAATTCATTGATTTTTTTTTAT